CCTATTTTGAGAAATGATCTTTGGGTTTCAAAGACAGATGTACATCAGCAGCAACAACAATCTTCCATCCAAGAGGTCACATGGAGGTTGTTTGGGAACAGGACTCTTTTGAGACCCTTCAGTGCTAGAGTGAAATATGAAGCTTGCAAGGATGTTTCTGGTGTGTGTGTGTGTGTGTGTGTGTGTGTGTGTGTTGGTGCATTATGGTTATACATAAAAGTGAAATTCATTATGAAATGTTCATACGCATAACATAGTTTGGTTAATTTCATTCCACTGTTCCTCCCCTTTCCCATCTACTCTATTGACCTTCTGTTTTCATGAGATGAGATTCCCTCTCTTTTTTTGTTAATTCCTTTCTCTCTATCTTCTGAAGAAGAAAGAAAACATTCGACCCTCAACGTTCTGAGTCAGGCTTATTTCACTTAGCGTGATAGTCTCCAATTCCATTCATTTACTAGCGAGTGATTTAATTTCATTCTTCCTCATGGTTGAGTAAAACTCCATTGTGTACATGGCCATATTTCTTTCCTTGATCCATTCATCTGTCGACAGGCACCTAAGCTGGTTTCACAACTTGGCTATCATGAATTGCACTGCGATAAACACCGATGTGGCTATATCCCCATAGTTTGCTGATTTTAGTTCTTTTGGATATACACCAAGGAGTGGGATAGCTGGATCATATGGTGGTTCCATTCCATATGAGGAGTCTCCATACTGCTTTCCAGAGTGGTTGTACTCATTTGCAGTCTCCCCGCCCCCCCCCCCAAACAATGTATGAGTATGTATTTCCCCCCACATCCTCCATACAAAGCTTTTTTCTAAGAGCACTGCCAGCTGGGGCGTTCAGGCCTAATGCCAACGTCATTCCACTAAGAGAAGAGAGCTTGCTTCTGTAGGCGTATGAGAGATGACAGAGCCTTCCCTGTGTTGGAAACAAAAATGACATCCATAAAAACATGAACATAAGCCTAGCATGCATGAGGTCCTGGTTCAATCCCCAACACTGACAAAGAAAAAAATAAAAGGAAGGAAAGAAAAGCATGAGACATGAGAGCCACGTGAAAGCACTAGTTAGACTAAGTAAGTGCTCTAAATCCTCACTTGGTGGTTCACATACTCCATAGCAGATCCTTACACTAGCATGGCTAGAAGTAAGCCATTTTTTTTCCTTCCTAAAGATGAACGATTCTGGTTCTGCAGGACAAGGCACATTGATGCCCTCTACTTCTAGAATCCTCCAGTTCGTTCAGTGAGTCAAACAACAAATCACTGAATTCTGTATCAGCTAACTTCTGCTGCATAACCAGCCACCCTAAAGTCCAGTGGCCTGAAAGCAGCATCCATCTAGGTAGCTCATGGTTCCATGGTTGGCAATCTGGACCCAGCTCAACCGGGCAGCTCTTCAGTCTTTGCTGAACTCCCACGTGTGCTTGCAAACAGAGGCTGATTGGTCTGGGAGGGCCTCTGCTGGGGGCTCATCTTTCAACAGCTGGACCCCTCTGTTTGCAGGGAGGCAGGGCAAGGTTCTGAGAAAGTAACTGGAAGTATGCGAGGCCCCTTGGTGCTTCAGATACAGCAACACCTCCCTCACATCCAACTATCAAAGCAAGCCTTGGTGAAGAATCAAGGTTGGGCCCAAGTCAGGAGCCCCTTGGAAATAGCTGCAGATATATGGTCAAGGGCAGGGATGCCAGAGAATGAAGGATTGTGGGCATTTTTGCAACTTATCACTGGTACCAATGACAGCATGATCTAAGTCCTACCATCAAGGAATCCTAAGACAAATGCAGAAGCTAACATGGGAGCAGCCTGTGGCCATTTGGCTTGATTGATGCCACTGTAGGGATATGTTATTTCTCTACAATTAAAACTGAGTCAGCTGGGATTATTGAGACTTTACACTATCAGCAGCCAGAGGTATAAGCCTAAGTTTCATGAGTATATTCCTCTCATATAATTGTGCCCAATTAGACACATCGCCATCTCTAAAGAATAGTTCAAGGACTGGGGCTGTAACTCAGTGGCAGGGTGCTTGCCTGGCACATGTGGGGCACTGGGTTTGATCCTCAGCACCACATAAAAATAAAGGCTGCTGTCCATCGACAACTAAAAAAAAAAAAAAAATTTTTTTTTTTAAATAGTTCCAGCAGTCGCTTCTTAGGGAGACCTTTTCATCTGCCCATTGAGTCTTGCTCTTTATTTCTGGTTCCTTACCCGGTAACTTTTGCTAATGATCCAGAATATTTATGTCAAGCCCCCTTTCCTCATCCCCTGCAGAAGAGAGAAGGTGGTTGAGGTTTAAGGAGAGAAAAGTGTATGAGTGGGGACATCAGAAGGTAGGGTTCTGATGAATGTGCTCTTATGCTGGGAAGGAACCTCTAGGGCTGGAGACATCAGGAATTCAGTGTCTCTTTACAGAAATGACCTCATTATTAAAGCTCAAGACATGGGACTCTGGCCAGGTGTTTTAAGAAGGCTTCTGTCCCTGCTCCCCCGAGTCATTCAAATTGTGCTGCCTTGGCAACTCCACTTAAAGAAAATGCTCGGGGTTCCTTTGGCAATGTGGGAAGTACCTGGCAGCCTCTTGACAGTTCTCATGTTCAGCTAGGCCAGTGACACCCCTTCTGAATGATAGGGAGGTGGTACAGCCAGGCAATTCCTAATCTCTACCTTGCTTCTCTACTTTGGGGGAACTTGTGACTATCAGGGTAACTATTGTGGTTTGGATATATGCTATGAGTGTGTTCCCCAAGAGTTCATATGTTGGAAGCCTGGTCCCCAGTATAACAATGTTAAGAAGTATTTGGACCTTTAAGCAGTGGAACCTGCCGGACGTGGTGGCACATGTCTGTAATCCCAGCAGCTCAGGAGGCTGTGGTAGGAGGATCATGAGTTCAAAGCCAGCCTCAGCAACTTAGCAAGGCCCTAAGCAACTCAGCAAGACCCTGTCTCTAAATAAAATATAAAAAGGGCTGAGGATGAATCTCAGTGGTTAAGCACCTCTGGGATCGATCCCTGATACCAAAAAAAAAAAAAAAAAAAAATGTTGGGTGGGAGGTGGAACCTAATGAGGTGATTGAGTCAGTGGGGGTGCTGCCCTTGAAAAAAACTGTTTTAGTTCCTGTGGGACGCCTGTTAGTTCTCATCAGAAGGTTATTAGAATTAGCCTGACCCTTACTCATTCTCTGGCTTGCATAATCTCTCCCTCTTGCATGGGCTCCCATTCACCATGAGGCCCTTGCCAGAGACTGAACCAATGGTTCTACCCTCTTTTGGACTTTCAGCCTTCAAAACTATGGGCTAAATAAACCCCTTTTCTTTACCCAGTATCTAGTCTCAGGTATTTCACTATAGCAAGGAAAAAACGGACTAATTCAGTGACTATGGATGCTTCCTTGAATGCTTGGCTCATAAGGCAGAAGCTAGAGGACACGTGCACACACAACAAAGAGGCTAAGTGTGCCTGTGAGAACTGATTTTGCTGCACGATTTGTTGAGGGCAGGCTTTTTATTTGCACTCACTGTTGGCAGCAGATTGCAGAGATGGTTAGTCTCGAGGGTTTTCAAATATGACCATGGGAATTACAAACTAAATGATATTGTGGAGCCGAACGCTGTGGTGCAGCAGTATGTACCACTGTTTGATTCCTCTATTGAAGGGCATTGAAATAAGAATTTGAATGCAACTCATTTATTTAGGAAGTGAGCTCAAAAAAACACTTGAGGGAACAGGGGAGTGAGACAGGGACAGGAAGGAAGCAATAAAGGTGTGCTATGGAGCTGGCCACCACTGCGGGCAAGTGTCACTGGGAAAATGTGTAGAACATGTCCCTGAGGAGGGTTCTCCCAGCCCAGGAAAGAGGGAGCTGGGGTATTTGTGTACCTGCTATAGTGAGTCTTGGTGAAGGGCAGATACAGGGAGGGATGTCTGCCCTGAGAAACAGAGACCTCTTATGCTGGTTCACAAAGGACAAGAGATGCCAGATCTCTCTGGGCATGGGAGAAAAGGTGAGATCTGCTCTACGAAAAGTTGTTTAAATGCTTGGCCATTGTTCCTATGATGATAGTGTCAGGAAAAACTGGAAACTGTCTTAGCATATGTGACAAGTCAGAAGACCACATGTGACATCAGAGGAGGGGGCCGTTTTTTCCCCACAGCTAGAATCAGCTTTAGGGAGTCCACACTGATGCTGCACAGACCCCATGAGCTCCACAGGCATGAGAGAAAGATCTAGATGACAGCAAGGCAGACTGCGGACCTGCAGATGCTTTCAAAAGCCTATCATATCAGAGCATTATTTGTCAAATTGTCCCACACATGTGTAATAACTCTCAGGATATCGGTAAGTTCGTCAAAAATTATGGCAATATGTAAAACAGTGGATGTGTAACCAATGTGATTCTGCAATCTGTATACGGGGTAAAAATGGGAGTTCATAACCCACTTGAATCAAATGTATGAAATATGATATGTCAAGAACTATGTAATGTTTTGAACAACCAATAATAAAAATTAAAAAATAAATAAAAAATAAAAAGGCTCTAGATCAGAAAAAAAAAAAAAATTGAATAAGCTGAGGAAATGTTAGGCCCCTGGGTTTCTTTCCCACCAGAGATCCTTTGCTCTTCTACTATAGATTGCAAATCTCTCGAAGAAAGGATGCAATATTTCCCAAACTTATTTGACCGTCAGACCTTTTCTTATTCCCAAACTCCTGTGAGTAACTCTCAGTAACTGGTGTTCCCCAGCACCCAGTTTGGGAAACAGTATATCAGAAGCATGTTTCAAGGACCAAACAGGTTGCCACAGGATAGCAGAATGTCCATGCGTTTTGAAAAGTGGCTCCATATAATGCTTCACTTGCCAGTGTGTTTTCTCATCTGAGGAGTACTTCCCGGGCCTCGGGGGTCAGTCATAGGCCAGGATGTCTTGGAATCAAAACAGCCAATCCTCCAACATTACTAATCCGGCTCTTCCTCTCTCTGCCTTTCAGATGGGCTTCTTCCGCAGAAGGTACAAAGAAATTATTGAAGCTGAGAAGAACCGGAAAGAGAACGAAGACAGTTGGGACTGGGTCCAGAAAAACCAGTGACCTGCCACACCATTCGCATGACCCAATCACTGGCCTGTCATCCTTGATCTTTGTATCTTCCATATTTGGAAGAAAAAAAAAATCTTCTCCAGATTTTTCGGAGGCCCCACTGATGCTGTTCTCTTCCTCGTTGTGTCAAAGCCCAGGTGCCAGGCCCAGGCAGCCACTTCAGCCAGGTCCCATGACCGGGAGCCACCATCACTTCCTTCTGAAGATGAACTCTGAACTTTGGAAACGAGCTACAGAGCCGAGCAATATTTATGGATGCAACATGCGTGGTCAACCCTCAGGGGAAAACTGTTACCTAAAAATATTTTTATAAATATAAGCCTTTTATACTGATTATGTCTTTATATTTGTATCAATGTTTTATTATTTCTATTAAATAGTTATATAATTCACTCAAGCACTGATATCTGGCCTGAAATCTTGGAAATACATGTACCTGTATACAAAATTTAAAGGACAAAAATCTTATTGTACTTTGGAACTTGCTGTTAAAAAAGGAAAAAAAAAAACACTTGCAGATAAAATAAGCTGAAGAAACCTCATGAAATAAATCCACTGAATGAGCAGTACCGCATAGAAACTGTGGATGTGGCAAGACCCCCCCAAGACACTTCTCATCGTTATTGCCTGGAGTCAAGTTTTGGAGTCATGTGCTAAAGAATTATAACTGCTTTTTCAACTGTACCTTTCAAGGGAATATTCTCAACAGGAATTTGGATGGAAAACCTGATTCCTAGCAGCAAGTCTACTATGCGTCACCTCTATGTAGCAGACATCTCCCCTTCTTTCTGCTTGAATTGATGGATGAAAGCCTGGAGCAATGCCAGTTAGTCATCTGGTAAACCTCAAGGTGGCATATTCTCCTGGACACCGTGTATCAGTGTTCACGCCCGACCAGGACTCCATCAGTGTCCCCCACACAAAGACATGATTCTGAAAGCTCTGAGGCAGTGCCTTTCTATGGTTGCTTTGGTTCAGAGGACTCCATTTCCTGCTACTCTTGCTTTCCCAACTCATTCTGATTACAGATTCCTTCTTAGAGATGACTTTCAACTGTTCTTTTAAAATTGTTTTTATTATTTCAAATGTTTTAGGTGGAATTCTCCAGAAGTAGACCCTAAAATCAGATTCATTTGCAAGTAACTTATTAAGGAAGTGTTCAGGGGGCAGGAGGGTGAATACCAGTGAGGGAGGAGAGGGGGTTAGGACCTGGCAGGGAGGAAGCCAGGCAAAGGGGCCATTTCAGGGCAAATGATGCCTCAGAGTTGTCCCAACTGGAGATAAGCCAGCTGGGCTTTAGTATTTCCACAGCCTACGGCTGGGGGTAGATGGCTCTCGCCTCCCCAGGAGAGCTACAGGTGCACCCCCAGCCCAGGAAAATAGAAATGGTGCAAAAGAAATGATGCAGAGATCTGAGCAGAGTACCAATGTGCCCCTGGTCTCCCACATGCGGTAATGCTGAGTTATGGCCATCAGTATTCAAACTGTCTACTTGATGGTATTTGGTGTCAGATACACTGTGCTGCCCAGTTCTAAGTGTGGTGCAAATTTCTAAAAGGGCACTGAGATGCTGGATGGAGCATCCTCGGTACTGTACCTGGCCCCTGATGAATGCTCGGTAGCTACTAGAAGCTATGGCTGCTGTCCCTGATGCTGGATAACTGTCTAACAAGACAGAAATTGGGGCTAGGCAAAGGGTCTGACAAAGGGTCTCAATGACTTATTAGAGCCTGCTGAAGCCCCAGCTACATACAGATGGTCCAGAAGGTCCCCAGAGAATATCACAGGCATGTCGGGCCCTCCCTTAATGGGTGTAGAGTGTGGATTCTGTTATGAGACTCCATTTGCAACTTTCCTTGGATGGACTCTCATTAATTTTACCATGTTTTCCTTTAGCAAATCATTTAAGATTCTTAGGTGGTAAACCCAGGACAGCTCCATTATCAGCTTTGGCCAAATGCATTTATTGCCACTAACCTTCTTCCTGAGAAAGGTTCAGACTCATCCATCACAGTGTAGAAGGGTGATTCACAAGGTCCATGGTTCTGCCAGCTAGAAGGCAAAGCCCCATTTGTGGACCCCTGTGGGCAGTGCTGGAGCCGGGATCCGTGCACTTCTGCTTGATTCTGAATAGTAGACCCACTTGAGTGGTTACATACTCAGGAGGTCACTCAGACTCCATAAGGCAGTTTTTAGGAGAACTATACTTCATACCACCAGGAGCAAATACTGGAAGCCACCCAAGGACCCATCTGGGAAAGGATGGTGCCTCTGCTTGTCAGATCCTGCTGAGTGGCTGGTGGGACTACAGAGACCGGGAGGTAATCATTTAGCACAGTGATGGAGAAAGAAGTGCTCTGGACAGTTCGCTGCTCCATTCTAACCCCATAGCTCTAATCCTTAGTCTTGGGGTTGGGAAGCAGACAGGGCTGGCTAGTGTGTCTGCGTTGCCTCTCCAAGGATTCTCTCCAAATCCCACCATGTATCCCATTCCACCCTTCTTGCTTCTATGGATAGGTTCATTGTGGAATCTTCACATATTCTCTTGGGTACCACTATTCCAGTCTGCTTCAGGTTTTAATCAGCTATTGAAGCACTAACATGCTTTTTAAATATGAAAAAAAAAAAAACTTAGGAGAAATTGAGTAAGATAATGCCCCTTTTCCAAAAATAGATTCCCCTATGCTCAATTCATACAGTGAGCCCTGGACCTGTCATCAAGAAGTATCCATGAAGGAGACACTAGTAGGAAGGATCAGGGTCCATTGGCTTTGTGGTTATGGACAGGCACATTCAGAATCACTGCCACTGAGATTTCCTTTGGCAATGCTTCAGGAAACCTCTCTTGGCACCACCTGTGTTTTTAGAGATTTGGCAAACTTTTAGAAAGTCCTCTTCCACGGAGTCATGTGTAGCCTGCTGTTCTAGAAGCAAAGACAAGGAGGTTGTCAGGAAACAGAAAAGCCGTGGCACTCCCAAAACACCTGGGGCTTGTCTTCCGTGCACAATTAATTATGGTGGACTTCCCATGACCCAGGTGCTGTGTGCCACCTGTTGAACCCCAGCATGGTGGGTTTTTAAAAGGTATTCATGGACTTTTATTTTTGGGTGAGGCATTATAGCCAGGTAATGCAATTATGCCTGATTACTTGTGAAATATACACCTGGTAAACCAGTCCTGATTTCCTGGTTCCAGTTTCCCAGAATGTATAGGTGCTACAAAGAATTCTTATTTGGGGAATGGGCTAAGGATGTAGCTTAGTGGCAGAGCACTTATCTAACATGCACACGCCCTTAGGTTCAATCCCCAGCATAACAACAACAACAAAAATTGCCATTTGGGAGAAATAGCCCCTTTAGCAGACAGAAGGCAGGAAGTGAGCATTATTTCAGCATGCCCCACGATTGCAGTTTTAACTGATGTTTTAGTTGGTCTTGTTTTGATCTATAGGGTAATAATATACACAGTTGAGAATATTTTCTGCAACAATAGCTGAAAGGAGGAGACGGAGCCAATAGGGCCAAACTGAACCTTCTAGAATGTCTTCTGACTTTTCAGCACATGGGAGGGATAAGGAGCAAATTTCCCAATATGGTGCAATGCTTTATAGCACAATGATCTAGATTTCAGATTTTGTTAAGGTGTTTTGTTTTTAATTCTAATGTGCACGGTGTGATTGGCAGCATAAGTTAAAAAGCTTTAAGAGTGATTAATTGCATGGCAGTGCACCCACGCTCTCTCCACTTACAGAACTTTACTGAGGCATCCATGTACATTTCTGTGGAGGAATTTTGGTGAGAAGGTGTTCCTCTGTATGATGTCTCCTTTATTAAAGTCTACGCAGTCACTTCTAATTCACTTGCACTGTTTGGGAAATGTCAGGTTTACAAAAATACATGTTTGGAATAAACAAAAAAATGGCTGCAAATGATTCAGGAGTTCAGTCTGTAATTTCTCTGCTAATAAGAACTTTCTAAGGTGAAATAAAATAGGAGCATTAAAAGAGCACGTCAATGTCCATCTAATTCCACATGAACAACCCTCTTGATGTGGCTGAAGTGTCCCCAATCCTTGCCCTCCCTGCCATGTCACCACCTTCTCTTTATCACCCTCCTCCTACCCAAGGGCTACACCTGGGATCTGGATCTGGAGATAAATGTGCCCAAACTAAATGCAAAGATTTCCTTATTCATTATAGACTTCTCCTATGTGTGTCCCCCAGTGACTAAGCATTTCTCCAGAAGCTCTTTGGTAGTAATCTTACACATTTATAGCTATTGCATCTTCTCCGATTTTTTTTAATCTCCACCTGCCTAGTTATAACTTGTTCTTAACACAAATATTGTTCATTTGTTTTTGTTTTTTCTTAGATGGCACCAACAAAATCCATTTGTTACATTAGTCTTTTTCAAGAATAGGCCTTTGGCTGTACTAATCAAATCTACTGGTTTTTGCTTTATTTCATCACTAAATGGTTTTTATACGAATTAAAATCTTTAACTGCCTTTATTTTTAAAATTCACACATACACCACAAAGAGGTATGAAAAGGTACACACAGTTTAAACATGGTAGGCAGGATTGTCAATGTTTTTGCTTTATGTTTTGTTTTTACTCATCTGAGTTTTAGTTTTTTATGTAAGCATTTATTCTGTAGCAATGAAACAAGCAAATTATTTTTAAATAAATTGCATCTAGGAGGATGTGCAAGAAGCTACGGTGTGGTGGAGCTCTGGCTCCCCTTTCCCAGTTGCTGGGCAAGCAGTGTCTGTGGGGCACCTACTCCACCAATACCTCCACTGCCACCCACTGCCACCCACTGCTGGATGCTGCTTCTATTTGAGGAAGAGAAAGAGGAGGAGGAGGAGTGCAAGCTCAGAGACACAAGTACACAAATGAAGAACAAAGTATTTTATCAAACAATTCAGCAATCAAATATAACATTTTGCTGCTTGGAATCTAGACTCCCCTGTGCCCTCAGTGTGCCAGCAGCAACTGTAGATCATAGTCAAGGGATCTGTGAAGTTTGGGCTTGTACCCTAGATGAAGAAAATCTGCCAAGTTATCCAAAAATATAATTAAGTGGCTATGGGCACCAAGGTGCCAGGTGTGGTTGCAAGAGCCAGGAGGGAATACAGGACTAATGCTGACTATTGGTACCAGCTTTTGTGATGTAATGTAGACTTGTTCAAGATAATTCAGCTAGGACTGACATTTATGAATGAACAAGGGGAATACCCTCCAGGTACTTCAACCTGGCGGTTTAATTTTAAATTTAATTTGATGGCTCTGTAGAGCTAATAACAACATTTAGTATCCAGTTTAAGAAACACGAGAAGGAAGGAATTGAGACCCAGTACTTTGCAGAACTTCTTATGAATGATTTCAGGGGTGGTCCTCTGCAAAGGGGTCCAGTGGTTATCATTTCATAAGTCATGACTGACTTGGGCAATTGAACAGAAATCCTGACCAACTCTAATTTGCCCAAAGAAGAACTTGACTTCTTTGAGATCCTTCGATTGTTTTTCTCCTGTCACTTATGAGGTGAAGTAACTCATGAAGAGCTGCAAAAATCTTTGTTTGGGGAGGTGGGGGAGGGATACTAGGGATTGAACCTAGGGGCACTTAACCACTTGACCACATCCCCATTCCTTTTTATTTTGAGACAGGGTCTTGCTGAGATGCTTAGGGCCTCACTAAGTTGCTGAGGCTGGCTTTGAACTCACGATCCTCCCACCTCAGCCCCCAGAGCCATTGGGGTTACAGGCATTCACTACTGTACCTCTTTTGCAAAAAATCTTAAAAGTGGATTATAGCAAGTTGCTCAAAAGTTAGAGCTGGATAGGACCACAACATCAGACAGGATCTGATCCATTGCTTACAAGAATGGCTTTTTTCAAAAGGAGAGAAATGTTGTTTGAAAAACATTGATGAAGCCAAATATCGTGGTCATTTGTACCGCCTTGGTTCTGGTTCATCCTATGTACAGAATGGCACAGGGAATGCATATGGAGAGGAAGCCAACAAGCAGTCAGCACCTAGAATAATCCATTTATTTATTTTTTATTTATTTTTATTTATTTTTTTTGAGCTCTATGCATGCTTGTGTG